TACTAGTGCTGGAGCAAGATGGTATCTCATTGTTGTTTTGATCCATTTCATTTTTGACACTTTCCAATTTTCCTAGATTCATACATCATACATACATTCCATGTTCTGATTATTAATGGATGTTTACAACTGTTTCTCCTCAATTTGAGTCATGCCATATCAGCAAATGGAGGTCTCGAAAGCTTTACTTTATTCATATCAGTAAGGTTGGTTCTACTCTGATGCTGCTGCTCTTTCCCAGTCATATTTTGAGAGCCTTCTGATCTAAGGGGTTTGTTTTCCTGCATTGTTTTGGACAATGTTTCCAGGCTATTCATTAAGTTGCCTAGTGAAGTTTCAGACAGTGTTTCTCTGCTATTCATAAGGTTTTTCCTAGCCAGTTCTTTGAGAAGTGGATGGCCCCTTCCTTCTTCCTAGTCTGTCTACATCTGCAAGCTGTGTTGAAACCTGTGTACCATGTGCAACCCTGCTGGTATTTGAAACACTGGTGGCACAACCTCAGGTTTCACAGCAACACACAAACCACCACAGTACGACAAACTGACAGGCAAGTTTGTCTACCTTAGCTGTTTGAAACCTCTCCACCCTCCCCTTACCTGGATCCCTGCCTTTGCTCTGCTCTGTCATCCCCTCTGGCTTTGCTTTCCTGCCTCTTAGGGGTGGGGCATGGGTCCCTCACCTTACCTGGATCCCTGCCATTTTATATATATATATATATATATATATATATATATGAAAAATAAAGAAGGAAAAAACACATAATATCTCATGGGGGGGTAAGATAAAAGATCATGAGTAAAAGAACAATAAAAAGAAAACTGATATTAGAAAAAAAAAGGGATGGGAAGAACCAAAAGAAGAAAAGAAAGAAAAAAGAAGGGAAGTTGAAAAGGAAAGAAAAAAAAGTCAGGGAAAGGAAAGAGAAAAATATAGAAAGGAAGGAAGGAGGAAGAATAAAGAATAATTTGAAAACAAGCAAACAAAAACAAAACTGGGGGGTGGGACAGGGTTCCAAGGCTCTGTCAAGGGACACAGACTGGGAGGGAATTCCTGCTGGTCTAGAAGGTGGGTGAACACAGGGGATGGCCACACCTTTGTTTGCCAAGAGGGTGTGGGGTATGAGTAACAAGGGGAATATTGCACCTTTCTAGTTGTCAGCCTCCAGTGTAGTTGCCCATGAAGTCCTCAGCAAGCAACGCCTATTCTTAAAGTTTGTTGTCCTGATCAGAAGATTACTTGCAAATATTCATCAAGGCCATGCTGCTTGCAAATATTCAAAATGGCTGTGCTCTTAGGACAGCTGGAAGTCCACAGCCCTGTTTGTCTCCTTTTGCTGTTTTCCATTCTAGTCATAAGCCACCAATGCAGTTGTCCATGCAGTCCTTAGCCAGTGGAGCTGATTCTTAAGGTCTTGCCCAGATCAGAATGCTACTTGTAAATATTCAAATTGGTCATGCTGTGAAAACAGCCAATAGTCTGCAGCTCTTTTTTGTCTCCTTATTCACTGTTTTCATTCAGGTTCTTCTACTAGTTGATATTTAATCCACTTCTGTATCCTTCCCGTCAAAGCTCAGGGTTCCAAAATAATCTTCTGTATCTGTATCAATTGGGTTCTCATTTCTTTGTTGTAGAGGGTCTGTGTAGCTTGTCTGCTTATCTGCCGTCTGGCCAGAAGTCAATAAATATATTTTTATGATAGTTACTCAGGAAATAACTAAATGAAACATGGTGATTCTCTTGCCCTAAAAGTTATATCAAATAACTATGGCACTCTTGGTGGATATGTTACTGACATTTTTCCTCTTTCTGATTCAGTGGTGTACTGTTACTTTTTGTAAACTGTATATTTTATAAAAGGAGCTCTGGTGGCATAGTAGATAAGGAATTTGGCTGCTAACCAGAAAGCCAGTGGTTCAAACCCTCCAGCTGCTCTGCGGAAGGAAGATGGGGCAATCCACTTCTGCAAAGATTTACCACGTTGGAAACTGATGGCAGTGAAGTTTTTTTTCCTTTTGGTTTTATATTTTCTGTTATTATGAAATACATATCATACATATTGGTACACATGGACACGGTGTTCAGTATGAGAAATAATTGACAGTACAGCTGAAGCCCCCATTTTAACTTCTAATCTTTTTATCAAGAGGGCGAAAGAACCTATATAAAGGCTAGGCTCATGAATAAATAGAAATCATGTCTACATAATCCCTTGGAATAGATAAGGTAAGAAGTACATAGGAAAGGGTAGTATGTAGAATTTATTTAGCCTTTCAAAGAGCCCTTAACATACACATAAAATTAATATCTAAATGAAACGTGAACTTCTCCCCAAGGTAATTACCATCAGTGGTCTTATCTAGATTATCAAATGATCTAGAATTTGTTGTGTTTTTGAGGTATTCAGATCTGCAGGAAATAAGAGATAACCTGCAGGAAGATTTGAAAGATGAGGGATTGGGCACATGAAAGTCAATGTAAACAGCAATAACAGTAACAATAATAATCTACAAGTAGATATATAAACACTCAAGCTGAACAGGAGTGGGAAGGCAAACAGGACAACACTCACAAATATATATATAGGTTTGACAGTATATTTCTACATATGTAAATATACTTATGAATAGAGTAGAAAATATAGGAGGCAAAGTTATAAACACTTGTTAGCCATAAACAAACACCTTGAGGGAATGAGTCACTGGGCTTGGGGGCTCAGGACCATATAGTCTCAGGGGACACTAAGGTCAACTGGCATAACATAGTCTACAAAGACCATGTTCTACTTTCTAATTTGGTGAGTAGAGACTGGGGTCTCAAAATCTTGTTAGTGGCCATCTAAAGTGCAACTATTGGTCTCTTCCCATCTGGAGCAAAGAAGAGTGAAGAAAATCAAAGATGCAAGGAAACAATTATTCTATAGGACTAATGAACCATGTGGACCCCAGCATCCATGGCCCTGAGACCAAAAGAACTAGATGGTGCCCAACTTCTACTGCTGACTGCTCTGAAAGGGATCATAATAGGAGATCTTGAACAGTGTGGGAAAAAATGTGGAACAAACCTAAAATCATTAAAAAAAAAACACAGTCTTACTGATCTGATAGAGACTGGTAGAACCCTTAACACTATGGTCTCAGGCAACCTTCAAGCCTGACATTCAACTCAGCTTTGTGGCTCAATATTCAGCAAAATGAAAGATAAGCCTATAAGTGAACAATAACACCAGAGAGGTAGCACTGATTAGAACAATCAACCATATGAAATCAAAAGAGCACCATTTGCCCAGGGATAAAGCTCAGAAGGCAGGAAGGAACAGGAAAGAAGAATGAAGGGAAATGGTAAACACAGTGAGGAAATGAGAGAAGAGTATTATTACATTGTGGGGATTGCAATCAGTGTCACAAAACAAAATGTGTATGAATTATTGAATGGAAAGCCAATTTTCTCTCTAAATTTTCACCTAAATCACAATAATCCAAACCAAACCCACTGCCATTTAGTCAATTCCAACTCATAGTGACTCCCCTTGGGTTTCCAAGGCGGTAACTCTTTGCAGAAATAGATTTACCCCATCTTCCTTCCGTGGAGCGACTGGTGAGTTTGAAACTGCCAACCTTCTGGTTAGTAGTCAAATGCCTTAGGCACTATATCACCAGAGCTCCTTTGGAAAAAAAAAAAAAAAATCATTGTAAGCAAAGGACATGTAAAACAGGGAAAATTATATGTCATAGTGGGCCCTAATTGTCAGGAAAGGGATCTACATGTTTCTAAAGTCTATTCCCAGAAAATATTGCCCCCTGTAGCATTGAAATCAAATAAATTATAAAAATCCTGGATATCATCAGGGAGCACATTAGAAAAAGGCAATATTATTTGCTATTTTATTCTTGGAATGTCTGTATGTAAAGTTTATGTTGTCATGTGGAAGAAATTATATTTTCTTTTGTTAAGAAAGGTATGAAGAAACTAAAGAATGTTCCAAGATGGATATTTAAAGAGACCAAGAAGATTAAAGAATTACCATATGCATAGAATTATCTGTGCATCTTTAGCTGGAAAGATGGAGAGTAGATTAATGAGAGTAAATTAATGTAAGTTTATAATTTAGATTAATTTTAAAATTTGGGACAAAGTATACAATTCCTAGAGCAGGAGATAGAATTAGCACAAAAAAAATAAACTAGTTCAAGAGAGACTTAGAGGAATTTATCATTCTTCTCTATATAAGGAGTTTATAGTTTTGAGGAAAATTAAGATTATCACCATAAATTTTGAACATTGACATTATGAAAAATAGACAAACTCTTCCAGAAAATCCTCCTTTATACTTGGGACCTGATACTAGTCAGAGGGACCTTATGTATAAACCAGCCTAGAGATTCTTATGCTTAAACAGAAATGTTTTGGGGAAAAAAAAATCATACCATTTTTAGTGTCCTTTTCACATGTTTGTATGGAAGGTCCATATCTTCCTGCTGGAATTCTTTTAAAAGTGAAATCTTCAAAGGCACTTTCTTCACAGAAATTAACTGTAATTGAAAGAAAAAAAAATCATCATGATCAGGTATTTTTTCTTTTTCAAATTTTAAACCAGATAAAAATTAAAGTTTAGAACCTATCTAGTGTAATTTAAAGAGTGACAAAAGTCTTTGTGACCCAATGGCCTGCCAGGAACTTCGTACTTTTCTATCTAGGTAATATCACTGTCATAGAGTCACTAGTAAAGGATCTGTGGGAACCATCTCAAACTTTGCCCTCATTTAGACACTACAGCTGGGAGAGGGGAAATTCAATTGGGGTTTATAAAGAAACTTGACATTTAGAGACAGACATGCTTTGTTGAATGTTCGGGTCTATAACCCAGGAAGAAAACCAGTAACTCAATACAATGTATTTATGAAGCTGATACACATAAAAATTATTACCACTATGGCTATTGTTATAGTAATTGTTAACTGAGGCATTTGGAGACAGACATGATGTATTGAATGTTTGGGACTATAGTCCAGGAAAAAACTCAGCAACTCAATAATACATAATTATGGAACTGTTAAACATATTTCAAAGTCTTTAATATTATTTATGGCTATTGTTACTGTAATTGTTAACTGAGGCTTTCAGAAGCTTTGCTTCTGTCATTAACATAAGAGTCACCCAAACCTCATACTCTGGTATTATTCCAAGTAACTTACTGACTGTACATCTCAGACCTTTCCATCCTTCCATACAAATACATCTGCCATTTTCCCAGGTTCCACCATTCTTGCAGAACTCCACTGGAGTGGTTGATGGGGGAGCAAATGTTCCTAAAACAGCATTAAATAACAAAATGCTACATGAAACAGTTGATTAGTTTTTCCATTTAAGGTTGTAGCTCGTTAGTTTCTGTATGTAAAACTGTTCTTTTAAATATCATTGTTGAAAAATAACCTCTGTAATAACATCATCAACAGAACTCCACACTTAAAATATAGCTGGGTATAAAATGCTTGTAAGATGTTATGGATTTTTTTTTTTTTTAATATATTTGAGAGACACAAAACTTTGACCAAGAAGAGTAGAATCACCTTACAGAAATAAGATAAATGATGACTGATAGATAAATAGACAGACAAACCAAATCAACATACAGACTTACAAGTGCTAGGGGAATTAAGAGGAGAGATGTTGAGGACAGGGCTAACGTAGCCAGGGAAGATTTTCTGGAAGGTACGGTGTTTTAATTAGGTTTAATATTAAATCTAGAAAACCCAAAAAACCAAACCCACTGCCGTCAAGTTGATTCTGACTCATAGTGACCCCTATAGAGTATCCAAGGTTGTAAATCTTTATGGAAGTAGATTGGCCCATCTTCCACCCACAGAGAAGATGGTGGGGTTGAACCTTCTACCTTACTCACTATGCCACCAGAGATCTCTAGGATACTAGAAAAGACAGGTAAAAATAGGTGGCCCAATTAGGCAGGATACAAAGTACAATATAACAGAAAGATGTAAAATGCTGATGAATCCAAGGAGCAGGGAAAAGTCAGCATATCAGGAGCAAGACATGGACTGTATTGTGAAGATACTTGTTGACCAAGCTAAGAAAATTTAATCCTATATTAGCCTACAGGGATCTTAAAACAAAGTAGCAACATAATTGGTAATGTTTCTTAGGAGGATACCTCAGGCAGAGGGGAAATAACTGAAGCTATAATGAAATACAAAATAAATACAAACATTTATCAATTTAATGACAAAGTCTCAAAATACATGAAGAAAAATACTGACAGAACTGAAAAGAGAAATAGACAATTCAACAATAATATTTGGAGACTTCACTGCCCCACTTTCAATAATAAATAAAATAACTAGACAGAAGATTATCAAGGAAAAAGAAGACTTGAACAACACTATAAAAAGCCAATTTCACATCTTATCAAGTGCACAGGGAACATTCTCCAGTATAGGCTATGTATTAGGCAATAAAACATATGGCAGTAATTTTAAAAGAAGTGAAACCATGTAAAGTATACTCTCAAATGACAATAGAATAAAATCAGAAATAAGCAACAGAAGGTGATTTCAGAAATTCATAAATTTATGTAAATTAAATAATACATTCCTAAATATCTAAGGAGGAGGTCTGGTGGTGTAGTGCCTAAGGCATTTGACTGCTAATTAGAAGGCTGGCGGTTCAAACCCACCAGCCACTCCTCGGAAGAAAGGTTGGGCAATTTACTTCTGTAGTGATACCACTTCAGAAACCCAAGGAGAGGTTGCTATGAGTCAGATCTGACTTGATGGCAGTGAGTTTGTTTTTTTGTTTTGTTTCGTTTTTAAATATCTAAGGGGCCAAAGAAGATATCACAAAGGAAATTAGAAAATACTTTTAAATAAGTTAAAAAGAAAATGCATCATGCCAAAACTAATGAGATGCAGTGAAAGCAGTGCCCAGGGGAAAACACTTAGATGTAAATACCTTTAAAAAAAAAAAAAAGAAGAAGAAGAAAGAAAGAAAGAAAATCAATAATCTAACCTTATGCTTTAACTAACTAGAAAAAGAAGAGCACACTACACTCAAAGAAAGTAGTTCTCATAGTTAGAGTAGATGAAACCAAATAGAGAAAACCTACCAAATCAAAGGTTTGTTCCTTGGAAAGATCAACACAAGTTACAAATCTTTAGCTAGACTTATCTTAGGTAAGGAGCTCTGGTTGTGCTGTGTTAAGGCATTGGGCTACTATCCAAAAGGTAAGCAGTTCAAACTCAGCAGCCACTCCATGAGAGGAAGATGAGGCAATCTACTTCTGTAAATATTACAGCCTTGGAAACCAAATGGGAGTCACTATGAGTCAGAATTCACTCAATGGCAGTGAGTTTAGTTTTTTTTGGTTTGATGTCTTAGTTATGTAGTGCTATTGTAACAGAAATGCTACAAGTGGATGACTTTAACAAAGAGTTCAGGTGGCTAGAAGTCTGAATTGAGGGTACCAGCTCTAGGGGAAGGCTCTCTTGCTCTCTCACTCTTTCTCTGTCAGCTCTAGGGGAAGATCCTTGTTTCCTTTCAGCATCTGTGGGCCTCATGTCCTTGGAGATCTCCATGTGTCTTGGCATCAGTCTTCCTCTAGAACTAGGAGGTTCTCAGCACAGGGACCCTAGGCCCATAGTATGCACTGTGCTCTCAGCTCTTCTCTCTTGGTGGTAGTAAGGTCCCTCCTTCTCTGCTCACTTCTCTCTCCTTTGATCTCTGGTAAGATAAAAGGTGATGCTGGCCACACCCTAGGAAAACTCCCCTTACATCAGATCAGAGCTGTGATGTGACCTGAGCAAGGGTGTTTCATCCCACTCTAACCCCCTTACAACTGTTCAGCTGATCACATCAGATCACTTCATGAGGAGTGATCACATCATTTGCATAACTGCCAAATTAAATCATTACATAACTGTCATACCACTGACAATCATGGCCCAGACAAACCAACATATATTTTTGGGAACACAATTCAATCCATGAAAATTTACCAAGGAAAAGAGAGAGAAGACTCAAGTTATGGAACTAGGTAGGAGAAAGAGAGTATTACATCTGATGGGGAAAAGATAAAAAGGATTATAAAAGAATGCAAAAAAATATTAGATAATTTTGTTAGGCTAGGTTCTCTAGAGAAGCAAAACCATAATCCAGCCTAACACAGTAATCTAGATGAAATGAACAAATTTGTAGAAAGACACAAAATACAAATTTGACTCAGGAAGAAATAGAAAATCTCAATAGAGTTGTAACAAGTAAAGAGATTGAGTTAGTAATCAAAAAACTTGCCACAATGAAAATTCTAGGTCAAGATAGCTTCACTGGTAAATTCTGTTGGTGTTAGACTGTTAGTTGCTGTTGAGTAGGCTGTGACTCATAGTGACCTTATGTATAACAGAACAAAACATTGCTGGGTCCTGTGTCATCTTCATAACTATAGGTATGTTTGGGTCCATCGCTGCAGCTATTGTTTCAATTCATCTCATCAAGGATCTCCTTTTTCCCTGACTCTCTGCTTTATCAAACATGATGTCTTTCATGATGACTTATCCAAAGCAAGCAAGACAAAGGCCCACCTTCCTCACTCTTAAGGAGCATTCTGGTTATAAATCCTTTAAGACTGATTTTTTTGTTCTCTGGTAGCTCTTCTGGTAATACAATGCCTAAGGCATTTGACTGTTAATCAGAAGGTCGGTGATTCAAACCCACCAGCTGCTCCATGGAAGGAAGATGAGGCACTCTACTTCCGTAAAAATGTACTGCCTTGGAAACTCAATGGGGGTTGCTATGAGTCAGAATCAACTCATTGGCAGTAGGTTTGATTTTGGTTTGGTTTGGTAGTCCATGGTATATTCAATATTCCTTGCCAGCACCATAACTCAATAGGCTCAAGCATAGCAATGATTGTGAGGATGGTATAGGAGTGGACAGTATCTCTTCTGTTGTACAGAGGGTGGCTATGAGTCAGAACTGACTCAATGGCACCTAACAACAACAACAACAACACAACTCAAATGCATCAATTCTTCTCCGTAAATGGAAGAGGAGGGAAAACTTTCAAATTTACTCTGTAAAAGTATATCAGTTAATACAGTACAGTATAGTATAAGAAACTGATACCAAAACCAGAAAAAGACACCAGAAGAAAAGAAAACTAAAGACTAATATCCATTGAGAATATAGAAGCAAATTTCCTCACAAAATATTAGCAAACCAAATCCAGAAGCATACAAAAAGTATTACAGACCATGATCAAGTGGGGTTTATCTCAGGAATGTAAAGTTGGTTCAACATATACAAATAAATCAATAGAATAAAGTAATGAAGAATATTGATAGAATAAAGGAAAAGAATCACACAATCATCTCAAAAGCAGCAGAGAAAGAAGCATTTGACAAAATCCAATACATTGTCAAAATAAAAACTGACAACAAACTAGGATTACAAGAGAACTTCCTTTTCCTGATAAAGACTATGAAAAAGCCACAGCCAATATCATACTTCTGGACAATGAATAAGGAAGACCGAAGAAGAGTTGATGCTTTTGAGTTGTGGTGCTGG